AACATTACCTGGCACAGAGTGAAAGATCTAAGCAGATCCACTCAATAAAGTAAGTAAATAAGTGAATCATGTTGAGTTTGATGTACATCTGTAAGCCTTTAAGTAGAGCCACCCAGGAGGAGTTGGTATTGAAGCAGAGGAGGTCACAAGGGATCAAGACAGATGAGGACCGGGGGACTAGCTATTAGCGTAATGGCTATGTCACAGGACTCCCATGTAGTCGACCGCAGTTCAAATCCCAGACCCGGTGGCTTAAACTCACACCGGGCACGTGTGCGTGTGTGCCCAAGATCCCGAGAGGAGAATGGAGGAGGAGGGATTGCGGCATGGCCAACTCCCTGGGGGGTGATTTCTCGCTTTCTATCTCTCTGTTTCTCTCTGTCTTTCTGGCAAGCGCACGCGCCCTATAGCAAAAACCTCTCCAAAAAAAAAGACAGATGAGGACCATGGGGATACAAGCACAGCAATCTCAGAAGGTGCTAGAACTACAAGGGAAGAGGGAAGCAGTATGGCATTTGAAAGTACAGACAGCCAGGCTCAAATCCTGGTCCTGACACTTTCTGCTTACAAATCTTGAACAAACTTTATAATCCTCCCTATGCCTCGGTTTCCTCACATTTAAAACAAAGTTTAATAATATCTGCCAAAGAGGATGAAGGTAAGACTTAAAGGAGCTTACACACTCAATGCTCTTTAAAACAGTGCCAGAACAACCTGGCACATGGAATGCCCAGAGTAAGAGGAAGCCGAGGAGAATAGCATTTTCTCTGGATAAGAGGGGTAGCATTCACATATCTGGAAGCCAGAGTTTGCTTTGTGACTTGTATAAATTCCTCGTTCTCTTGTGTTCCAACATGAGCCAACAGAGAGAAGGCGGCTCTCTGCTTTTCTGCTTTGAGCTTTTTGCTGTTTTCTTGTTTTATTCCTCTATGGTCTTATCAAAAACAAAACAAAACAAAACTGCAGAACTTCTCTGAAGGAGCTCTGAATTGCGGCATGGAATGCAGAGAGGTGTGCAGTATAGCTAAAAGAGCACAGGCCTTCAGAATCAGTCAAACATGGGCTAGAACTCTAGCTCTGCCACTCAGATAAGTAACTTAGTCTCTCCTGATTTCTTTCTTTCTTTTTTTAAGTTTATTTATCCGTTTCCTTCCTCTATGAGAAAAAATGACAGAATGAGACAGACATCCCCAATAGGGTCCTGATGCCACTACCCCCAGCCTCTAGCAGCGTTGGCCCATACTCAAGGAGGTTGCCATCTCCACAGCCTCACAGAGTGTCAGGTATTAATACTGTGACACCCTCTGTCCCCTTTTCCTGATTTATAAATCAGGAATAATACCTACGTCAAAGACCTTAAGCCTAAAGAATACTAGCTGCTGACTACATATTCACAGAATAAATTAAGGAGGTTGTTGTGAAGAGTCAATGTGACAGCATTCATAAAACATAAATATTTACAGTTTCCAGCACACTGTAAGATCAACAGACGTACCAAACGCAGATGATCGTGATGGTGCAATGGTAACGAAGCACTCTGTGATGATGAAGCTACATGGGAAGGTCCTGGGTTCGCATCCTGAAGTCTCCCTGAACACCCTGGGGGTGAGTATACACACCCGTGATTCTGGCTGGCTGAGGCTGGGGATATAGGGTGAGTCATGGCATCAAGACCCTGCTAGGGATGCCTCCCCTCTTTCTCTCTCTCTTCCTCCCTCATTAGAAATAAGTAAACTTAAGAAAAGAAGCAAAAACAGACCAACATGAAAGCTGGATAAAGTCTTGTTTTTTTGACTGGCAGCTAGAACAGCATTCCTGTGGTGAGGGCCTTTTTTAAAGAACTCAGTGTCAGATCTGAACTTTCTATTTATTCATGTCATTAAAAAGTATTTTCCCTTCATCTTTTAAAGAGAATAGGTTTACTTTTACTAAGGTTTTATTGAAGTGCTAAGCCTTATTAGAAGGTACACTTAAGTGATTAGATATCGGTATCAGGGCTTGTTGTGGGTCTTGGAAAGATAAAAGAGAAGCCTGATAGTTGTTCTGTTTGCATTTGGGTTTCCTTTTATCCTCAGTGTATGGCTGGTTCAGAGCACAGTGGGCTGATAACCTTTGCATTTAATTCTTCATGTACTACTTTCACAGTACAAAAGCTGAAATGGCTCAGCAGCTGCTTTCTAACAATGCGTAGAATCATGTACCAGAAGGTTTATATCTATAAAAATATTAGGAAGCACTGCAGAACTGATTGCATTTTGTGGGTTTATCTGTTTTAAGGGTACTTTAAAAGTTATTTTTACCCTACTTGCAAAAGAATACACATTCATTGCAAATAATTTGGGAAATTAGAGAAGCTCAAAGGAGAAGACCTATCTCTATGGGATAGATATAACATTTCTGTATATGCCCTTCAAATCTTCCAGATGCCACCTCCCTGGTGAGGTATTTGTGTGTGTCAAACAAAAGTCAAAATACACTAAACTCAATATTATATAATCAGTGTTTTTAATTAACTGAGGCATGCATTTATTGATTTTGGTGCCTGATGCCTAGTAGGTGCCTTATTTGTTGGCTTAGTACTTTTCACTTAGTGTTCGCTTTTCCAAGCATTTACACCAACTAATAAAGCACCTGCTTATTAGGCACCAGGTACCGAAAAAGTAGAGGATGAAGGAAAACATAAAAAAAATTGTTAAAGTCAAATGAGGTAAGTGCCAATAAAGATACATTGGGCTGTCGGGCAAGTCATGATTCATTTCTGCACAGAAAAATACGCCATGATTTTCCTGATGACCTAAAGATAAAGTACAAATCAGGGAGAGAAATAACTCTCTGGGTGAGAGATATGCCTGGGACATTTTTTTTTTCTTTTTCTTTTTTTTTAAATATACTTTAAGGGCACATGTGCTGACTGGAGAAACACAGATAGAAAGCGAGAAATCACCCTCCCCAGGGGGGATGACTATGCCACAATCCTTTCTCCTCCGTTCTCCTCTCGGGATTTTGGGCACACAGGCACATGTGCCCAGCATGAGTTTCAAGCCACCGGGTCCAGGACTCTAACTGTGATTGACTACATGGGAATCCAGATGTAGCCATTACGCCATCTGCTGGTCCTAATACCCAGGACACTTTTTATAGGCAATGACACATGAACTCTACTAGGTAACACAGGAATTCACTAAGGAAATATGAAACACAGGTAATAAAGAGGCACATGTGAGCAAAGGATATGGCAAGAAAGCCCCAATATGAACATGAACAACCAGTTTGCGGTATCACAAAAACCCCATTTGGTTAAAAAAGATGAAAGAGGGAGACTGAAAATGCAAGAGGCAGGTAATGAACAACCACTATAACTAACATGCTCAGATTTATGTCATGATTAGTAAAAATAAATAAATAAATAAAAATACTATAGCTTCAAGGATTAAGAGTAGGGCCAGCTATGGTGGTTAAGGCAGTAGACTCATGGTCAACCATAGTTCAGGCCCAGACCTGACAGCTTGCTTTCTCACTTTCCCTCTCTCTTTCTTTCCCTCTCCCACTCTCTCTCTCTTTCTCCATCTCTCTATGCTAAGCACATGTGCCCTATACTAAATTTAAAAATAGTAATAATAACTAAAATTAAATGAATAATTCTTAAAAAAAAAAAAAGGAGGGGGGCAAAGAGTAAAACCAGAGCAACAGAGCAATCCATAAGAGGATTGATAAGGTGAAAAACAGTAGAGACTGAGAATGAGATGAGAGACAATGTCCTAGCAATGATAATGAACTAGAAGTTAAGAGACCTGGGTTCCAGGTGGGTAAACTCCTTTCTTCTCTTCCTTCCTTGGTTTTTGAAAGGCTGCTATGTAAAAGCAGATGATAGAGATACAAAGATAATATGGCCCCAATTCCTATTCCTCAAGAGCTTACATTCTGGTAGGATAGAAGAGTTGAAAATTTAATTATTTGTATTTGCCTAGCATGCTTACTCCTCCTTCTTTGGGAACAGGACTTCAATCTTCTCCTAAGAAAACCATCCATTTCTGACTCACATAATCCCTGGAATTTGAGTGGGAATGTTCCCACTTCAAGATTGGGTGCATGAAATAGGCCAAGCAAACAGGAAATCTCACTCTCCAGGTATAAGGACTGGTTTAGGTACAGGTATATACTCTAACCAGGTCAAGATCACTCAATAAAGACTCTAAGAGAACCAGCAAAAAAGAAACACAATCTTCTTCTAAGATCCCAGATGCCGAAGACCACATACCCCTTGGGGTGTCAGAGTCCTTCCATGATATCAAGTCAGAGCTTATTTTTTTTTTGAAGTCACAGAGGCAAAGTCAAGTCAAGATACCGAAAATAGAGATCAGCTGACATCTTTTGAGAAGCTGGATTTGATCACAAATTACGAAACGTTTAAGTTCAGTGAATTCCCCCCACTTTTTTGGTTTTTTCTTTGTCAGAGTGGGTTTTATTTGGGTTTTTATCATTAGTAATTTAAAGAGTGCTGACTAATTATGAGAGAGAAACAGAATCCTACAATTGCAACACAATCTGATAAGTGGTGTAGTTATTTATGAGGTACAAGTAGGACAGAAAGCACAGCCAACTTGACTTGTAGATAAGGTAACACGGAAATTTTCACAAAGGAGGTGATGCAAATTGAACTCTTGAAGAATTAGCCATCTGACAATGAGAGAAGAACAAAAGGATACTCTATCTAGAACAAACAATATGAGCAGAGGCTAGGAAGTGGAGAAGAGAATGGAATGCTTGGAAAAGTAAACAGTCCACTAAGTAAAAGTACTAGGTGCACAGCAAAAGCAAAGTGTGACAGATTGTCTCTGCTCTGTAGGCAACAAGGAGTCACTGGGTCTTCAAATCAGACTTTCTACCTCTCATTTAACAATTCTGGACCAGTGTCCTACTAGATAAAATAAAGTAGGTTAGAATACGTCACCACAAATTGATAAAAAAAAAAAATTTAAAAAAACTTAAAAGTACCTTACCTGCTGATAGAATTCATCATCTTTGGGGGTCAGATAAGGAAGCCAAGTGTCTTCAAGCTCTTCAAGAAGCCTCAATTTCTGTTTTAAAAAAAATTATTATTATGTTACAACTGAATATAAGAGGATCCCAATTGTAAGACAATCTCTTATTTTTTCAGTATAAGAATACAAAAAAAAAAAATCAGCCAGCTTAAATGTATAAACTTTTACATACAGAAATTGGTAAAATGCCCATTATAAAATTATTAAATTACACTCATTTTAAATTATACATTGTATGACGCATTCATTTAGAAATAATGATTTTATTCACTCTCACATTTTAAGAGACAATCTGATTCACTCATTGAATGTTTTAGCACTGGGATCTTTTTTATCCCTAGAGTCACTTTTTGAATCTTCAGTATAGTTTTCCAGGGCAAATCTTCCCACATTCATAATCTCCTTGAGACATGGTAGTTTGCAAATCCTTTTGTGATACTATCACTGGAAATACCAAACCAAGCTGTGAGTATCCATGTGCGTAACCTCAGGACACAGGGAATATTTATGTATCCTGTAAACAATTATTGAGAACTTTGCCACTTACAGTATTGCTTTTATTTTTTTTAAGAGAGATTTTTTTGCTATCGGGTGCATGCGCTCACTGGAGAGACAGAGAAATAGAGATACAGAAAGCGAGAAATAACCCCCTGATGGCCACACCCTGCAATCCCTTCTCCTCCAATCTCCTCTTGGGATTTTCAGCACTCACGCACATGCACCTGGCATGAGTTTTAAGCTGTCAGGTCCCCAACTGGAGCTGCAGTCAACTACATGAGAGTCTAGTGATGTAACCATTACATCATCAGCTAGTCCCCAGTATTGCTTTCTTAAAGTGATCTTTCATCTCTACAATAATTACTAGCTCTGAGTTAAGTACCTTTGCTTCTTTTCTTTTCCAATTTTATGAACTAACCTTTTTACCGTCCGAGGCTCTTTCAGGAGATTATGTTGTCCCCCAAAGACAACTGTGCAGTTCAAATGAAGTAATGGAGAGAGTATCCCATACTATAAAATATCTTTAAATGAAGCAAATACATGTAATACATGTAAGGGGACTCCCTTCTGAGAGCTTTTGGCCAAGAATACCTGACTTTATGTCAAGCACATATAGAGTTTGTATTTATGCATGGTATGTAAGTGGCATATGTGCATACACAGACACACATACACAGAGACATGTATATTCTAAAGAAATTACTTATAAGAAAAAATACCAAAAGTCAATTAGTTTCAAATAAAACTACAATACAACACACCATCAGAGTGCTGGACCCGGTCAGCCAGTAAGTCACCTTTCTAAGAACGGAAACACAGTGCTCCTTGATCTAGGCCAGCACGGCCTCCTCACATAGTACATGGTTGGGTAACTACAAACTGGGCTTCAGCTCCAGCCTGCTCCAATGGCCACTGTTTTTACATAGCACACAACCAATTCAACCAAACATGGCGGCCTTCACCACCTTCGCTTATTTTCTCCCACCCCAGGAGAGCAGCCTTTTCTTACAAACCCTTTATAGTCAGAAATGTACAGAGCCGAAACCCTTTTCTGTAGAACTGAAGTTCTTTCTGGATCTTTTGTATCATTATCCAAAGTGAACAAAGAAAAAGATTGTAGAAATAGAGCAACTAGTCAACCTAGGAGAGAAAAAAACAGTAAATTCAACTCTCTTTGCTTTTCTTCTTTTTTTTTAATTGTCAGAGAGCATATTAACTCACCAGAGAGAGAGAGAGAGAGAGAGAGAATCCCACAATGGATTGTGGTCATGCCATAATCCCTTCTCCTCCATTTCTCTATCCAGTCGAGCTTTTGGACACAAAAACACATGTGTCCAGTAAGTTTTTCAAGCTGCTGGAGCCGGGATTTGAAACACAGTCAGCCATGTGGGACTCAGCTCTCTATACCAGTAGGATAAAGTGTAGACCTAGTAAATTCTACTCATGCATAAATCTAGTCTATTTATTTAATTAAATCTTTTGTTTTAACAATAGGTATTTTCTCATTTGTAATGAAAAGACCAACTTTCCAGTTAAACTATGAACAGTTTTTCTTTCCTAAGGACCTATAATACTAACATAACACAAACCATTATGTATAATTCACAAACCAGTTTGAATAATTCACTAATTAATTGGTTTCATCTGTTTTCAGTATTAGTCATTATTTGGGGCATAAAATGACTAGTGATATTCCTATGCATATACTTGCACATTAATGTACTCTAACAAATTTAATACAAAATTTATACCTCAATTTTTATTTCAAGTTCAGGAAATCTTATATGTTCCTACCAATGTTTTACTATTGATAATTCTTATCTTCATAGATGGTAAGTGCCAGAAAATTTACAGATGCCAAAAAAAACTTTTAAACCTTAAACAATTAAAATGTGCATTTTTATCTCAAACTTCAAAATTAAAATAGTATCATCAAATTGTGGATAAGACCCTGGACTCCCACATGGTCAACCTCGGTTGGAGTCCTGGATCCAGTGGCTTGAAACTGATGCCAAGTGCATGTGAGCGCATGCCCAAAATCCTGAGAGGTACACGGAGGAGAAGAAATTGTACCATGGCCATACTCCTGGGGGGTGATTTCTTACTTTCTCTCTGTCTCTCCAGCAAATGCAAACACCAAGTAGCAAAAAAATCCTCTTAAAAAAAAAAAAAGAATATTATCATCACTTTGAAACTGTAATGTAAGAGATATAGAAAAAAAATCTTCAAGAGATACAAAATTTTTTTAATTGGTTTGGGTCCCAGACCTGGTGGCTTAAACTCACGCCGGGTGCATGTGCGTGTGCGTGTGCATGTATGTGTGCGTGTGTGCCCAGGATCCCGAAAGGAGAATGGAGGAGAAGGGATTGTGGCCTGGTCATTCCCCCCTGGGGCAGGTAGGTGATTTCTTGCTTTCTGTCTCTGTCTCATTGGTGAGCACATGCACCCTATAGCAAAAAAAGAAAGAAAGAAAGAAAGAAAGAAAGAAAGAAAGAAAGAAAGAAAGAAAGAAAGAAGAAAGAAAGAAAGAAAGAAAGAAAGAAAGAAAGAGGTAAATGCCTACATGTCAGCATATATCTATATAAAAATTTGTACATGATTGTTCACAATAGCTTTATTTGTAACTGCTAAAAATTGGAAACAACCCACAAGTCCATCAACCAATTAAGTACTATGGAATTTTTGATGTTATAGCCAATGAAATATAAATTTTTACCTTCAGGTTTTTGGTTGCTAGAATATAAAAAATACAACTGATTTTTGTATATTGATCTTGAGACCATGTTAAATTATTTTAGTACTAGTTGCTTTTTTGCAAATTCTATAGGATTTTTTATATAGAGGCTTATGTCAAATGGTAATAAAAGCAGTTTTACCTGTTTAACATTTATCTTCAATCTAGGTAACTTTTATTTCTTTCTTGTCTTATTGTACTGGCTAGAAACTTTAGTAGAGTCTGGTATAGAGGGGTGATGGCAGACAGCCTTGTATTTTTTTCTGATCTTAGGGTGAAACCATTCACTCACCAGTAGATATAATGTTACATGTAGGGTTTTCATAGATTCCTGTATTAGGAGGAAGTTCCCTAGATTGGTGAGTGTGTTCATCAGGGTTGATGCCGAATTTATTTAATGCTCTCACTGCATTTATTTGGGTGACCATATGGGTTTTCTCTGTTAGCCTAATATGAATTACTTTTGTTTCCTGAATGTTCAACCAATCTGCCTATCCTAGGACAACGATTTTAATGTATTATCTTTTACATATGTTGTGTGAAATAATGTGATACAATTTCCTTAATCTTTTTTACATTCACATGCATAAGGGAAATTGATCAGTAGATATCATGAAATATTTCTGTTTGGTTTTAGGACTGAATTTTATTAATTCTCTGAATGAATTTGTGTAGATTTTTTTTCTTAAATATTTGGTAGAATTTATCAGTAAAGTACATATTATAAACCCTATAGAGTATTCTTGCTTTTTTAATAGAGATTTTTGCTACAGGCCACATGTGCTTGCCAGAGAGACAGAGACAGAGAGATAGAGAGTGAAAAATCACTCCCCTCCAGGGGGGATGGCCATCCCACAATCCCTTCTCTTCCATTCTCCTCTCAGGATCTGGGACATGGATGCACACATGTCTGGCCTGAGTTCTAAGCTGTTGGGTCACGGACTTGCACCATGGTCGACTACGTGGGAGTCCAATGACATAACTATTACACCATCTGCTGGCCCCTATTCTTGTTTTTAATATTCAATTATCTTTTATAAAGATGTAAATAGTTAGGAATAAAGTATCTTATATTTCCCACACTTACTATTTCTGATGCTTTTCATTCATTTATGTAGACTGAGATTTGCTTGTAGTGTCATTTTTTTCTGCCTGAATGCCTTCTTTATCATTTCTTACTGTGAATTTCTGCTGGTGTTGAATTCTTTGTGTTTTTGTATATTTGAAGTGTTTATTTCACATTTTTTTTTTAATACTATAGCATTTCTCCACTGTCTTCTGGCTAATATTCTCCCTAGAAGAATGTTGCTTCTTTTTCCCTGGCTGCATTTATGATTTTCTCTTTTTCACTGGCTTTAAGTAATTCTTATTTTGGTGTATTTTTATGTTCTCTCTTCATGCTTTTGTGGTTGGGGTTCTTTGAATATCTTGATCTATGGATTTAAAATTTTCATCAGGTTTGGAAAATATATGTCCAATACATTTTCTTTTCCCTGTTCTTTCTCCTTTAGTGACTTCAGTTATATGTATAATCTGCTTAACGTCATTCCACAGCTCACTGAAGCTTATGATCTGTTAACTTTTTTCTCCTGTCATTTTCCTTTCTGTATTTCATTTTGAATAATTTTCTTGCTATGTTATTATTTTCTTCTATAATAACTAACCTGCTCGAGTCCTGCCCACTGTCTTCTACCTCAGACATTGAGGTTTTCCTTTTGAAAAGCATTTTTAAATTTTATTTCTCCTATGTTTCTCCTTACTATGCTCAATTTTCTCCCAATTTCTGAACTTATTAACTACAGTT